TTACTAATCCTGAACTTTTAATCAGTAGTATAGATAGATAGATAGATGTATATCAGTTTATATTGTATATTTAATCTCATTTTGCCATCATCTAACAATAATTTTAGCTTTAAAAACAATCATAAATTACACTAAGAATAACACTTGCATCACAGTGCTGAGTTCAGCATGGACAGGCTCTCTACACTATTTTTTTTTATGGTTGATTTTATGATCATTTTTGTGAAGTCATTTCATTGTTATTTCATTAACTCTGCAGGAAACCAGTTGCCTCCTGGAGGTCCAGCAGGGATGGGCATGCAGTCTCCACCAGGTCTTCTAGGTTCAAGGCCGGGTATGATGCCTCTCCAGCGACCTCCAGGGATGCCGCTTCCACACATGCAGCGCTTCCCCATTCCACCTCCTCGGCCTGGCATGCCACCCATCCCTCCACAGATGATGCCACCAAGGGGTCCACCTCAGATGATGCACCGTGAGCCACCACCAGGGGGCTTCAGCATGCCGCCCCCTCCTCATGGCATCAGAGGCCCCTTCCCCCCTCCTTGTCCTCCCTTTATGAGGCCGAGCGGACCCAGACCAGATGGGCCAAATGATCACGAGGCGAGGCCATTCAGAGGCGAGCGCCCCGGTTTAGGAAGGGGCAGAGAACGAGAACAGGACTGGTACGGAGGGCGACGGCCTTTTGGCGAGGGGCGTGGTGATGAAAGGCCAGATGGTCGTGAGCTATTTGGAGGCTGGCACGAGGAGCCGGAAAAACAAGGCGGGTGGGACAGAGAGAGAGAACGCAGGGACTGGAGGAGAAGTCCGAATGGAGAGAGGGATCGAAATAGAGATAGAGATCGAGGACGGGATGGTGAAGAACGGTCGAGGCGCTCTGCAGGTAGCAGAGAGAGGAGCACACGCTGGGACCGAGATGATAGACTCGATCGACTGGGTCTCGCCAGTGAGGAAACCAACGAAAGACTTGCAGCAAATACCAACGAGCCCAGTGCAAATGCTACTAAAGAACTTCCTGAAGCCAAGCCAGATGTTCCAACACCTTCCACAGCAGACTCTAAAGCCTCAGAACGTATTACAGAGAACAAATCTGCCAAACAAACACATACGGAAGAATCATAGAGGCCTCTTTATATGTCAAGACCATATGAGCTTCTCACATGTCAGTGCTAATCTTGAATACTGCTAGCTAGAATGCAAAGTCCAACTATTGTGGGATGCTTTATGCATATGATGCTTGGTTCTTCATCCCAAACCAAGTTTTTCAGGCTTTATAAACCGTATTTTGGCAAACGTGGAGCGTTGCCTTGTGAATTTATTGTCCCACCTCAATGAAGCTTGAATGTTGTATTAAAACGGAAGTTAAGGAAAAGAAGCTATTAATGTTTCTGCTGTAAATACGCTAACATTACTCAAATAATGTTTGTAGATTTTGACTGGCAGTTTTTTTTTTGTTTTCTTTTTGTTTTTCATTTTACAATGATATCCCTGTTGAGTTTCAGTAATGGAAACATGGACTAAAATAAGATAAGATATTAAGACCCTTTTGCTGTAATGTTTTCTAACTTAATGTTTACAACATACAAAAAAAA